ATTCCTGTTAATGCTCTTTAATGTTAATGCTCATTCACAAAACCTAAGGTTTTTCACACCATTTGTTTTGCAAGTCCAAGAATGTTTCTGTTATGACAAATGAACAGGAGAGCTGTACAAAGATACCTTCCCAAGTCTGGGATTCAGGCTGGGGAAACCTGACTTTCCTGTAGGAGAGTCCTTCATTAAATTTGGACAAGATAGAAGCAGATAAGGGAATTGAATTATTATGTATGAAATTAAGTAGAAGGAAAATTAAAAATGTAAGTAACATGAATTATTTCTTTTTAAAGTTTGATTAATATCTTAGTCTTTATGAAAATGACAGAAGTGGATAATGCAATTATGGCCTTTATGCCCTGTTTCTATGATCATGTAGTGCAAACAAGTATGTGTTGTAGATTCATCACCATAAGTGGTGCACAAAATCTGGAACATAATACGTTATAGTAGACTTTATCTTGGCAGGTGGCATTTAAAGCCTTAGAAAACTGCAATACTCTATTACAAAATCTAAGCTAAAATATTCCAGAAATAATGTAACTTTACTGGTAAAGCACAAAAGCAAAATGGTAGGTTAGATGTTCCAGAAATTAATTTAGGTTTAGTTTGAATTCTAGGAAAAAGTCTAAGACATTAATTATTTTTCAGTGCATTAGAAACTGTCAGAGCTCATATTACTTCAGTCTTTCTACATAAAGGATGACAACTTTATTGATTATATTTGTTGCCACTGCTTGAAAGGAAGACAAGGGATCTTTATTTTGGCAAAAAAAGGAGATATGAGTGACGTATCACCATATGCAATAAAGGAAGTAACATTCTGCACAAAGAGATGGGAGCCTTTCCATGTTGTTCACTTTTGCTCCCAGTAGAGTTGGAGTGAAATCCTCATTGACTTTAAAAAGGATGCAGTTAGGTTAGAAGGTTCTATTAGGGCTCTTGGGTGCTGACTGCTAATAGTTAATGCATGACTTTTCAAATAATATCACAAGTTTTTTATCTGAAAATATCTTTAGGCCCTTCACCTCTCCTCTCCCCCACTGAAGAGGAAGAGACAAAGAATAGCTCTGATGTCATGCCCAGCATTCCTGATGTATTGCTGCGAAAACTACGAGTGCACAAATCGCTTCCAGGAAGGTAAAAGCTCATTAGAAGTGGAAAGACATCATCCGGGGGAAGGCACAATAATGGTTTCCAGTGACCTCCCTTTATGGAGTTCCATTCATAGGGGATCCATACTAGTAGAGAAATTTCTGCATCTTAAAAGGTGCAATACAGATTTTCTGAAATATATTGGGGAGTGCAACCAACTTCCAGTTACTGGCCAACTTTTAGAATTAGTTTATAAGTTCTACATTTAAAAGGCCTGAACCCTAACTTGTATGCTACAAGTACACCTTTACACAGATTTTCCACTGATCTGTCCCCTCCTGGTTTTCAGGATTTCTGCTACAGATACAAATTCATGTTGAAAACATTAGTATTTCTTCCCTTTGAAAAATAATCAGGCGAGATAATGCTTTCCAGTGGTAAAATCTGGGCATGTAAGAATTCTGCAGTTTTTCTGCAGATGATGCTTTTTCAGGGAAATAGAGCTTATTTTTTCAAATGTAGTTGACAGACCCTCTCACGAATTCCCTGATCTTGGGCTGTGCATGTAAGCACTTTATCAACAGGTTGCTTAACACCTTCCATGGCTCGGGATTTTCTCCTCTCCCTCTTACACAATCTGAAACTGGATGCTTAGAAGTTACAGGTGTGTGGGGTAGCACCATACAAGAGATCATTTGAAACTAGAACTACTGTCATGCAATGTAACTATAGCAAGGGAATCCTCTAGTCCCTGCTCTTCTGAGCTGGGGACCTTTAGAAATAGTTTGGGGTTTGTTGGTTTTTTTCTGATTTTAGTTTAGTACTATCCAAATTTAACATTTTTTTCTGGTTTTCAAATAGTCAGTCATCATTCTTTTGGTGGAAAACTCATAAACCTCAAACATATATTTTGTCAGTGTCAGAATCATTGTTAGCTAACTTCTAATAAAGTTAGCAGCCACAACAGGATAGTTCAGTATACAGTGAACTGGGTTTTGAATTCTGCCCATCTGTGACCATCATCATGACACTTCAGCTGTTAACAGAAGGAAGGTGGGTAAGGACAGTAATCCAAAGGACAGTGTATTCAGTCATTCCCAAATCCTAAAGGATAATTTCTGTCTTGCTTTTTTACTTGCAATTTATCACAATATAGTGCAGACAGCAGTATCTGCAGTTACCAGACACTTTGGTATATTTTTGCCAATACTCAGGTGATCCTGTGCTGATGCTTTTAAAAAAACCCATGGGGTCCAGCCATAGCAAGTACAACTGAATTAATCAAGTGTGGGTTTCACCAAAAGAAACCCTAAAATATTTCAGGGGACAATGTATTTTTTTGTGGTTTTGTTTTGGGTTTTTCTTCTTTGGTTGGTTGGTTTGATTTTTGTTTGGTTTTAATTTGTGGGGTTTTTTGTGTGATTTTTTAAATAAATGTTACAATAGTTTTGCTTTTAGAGACAAAACTAATTAAAATGTGTTTTTTTTGCTTTTATGTCTAGCTCCCCTGCACTTACTGAAAAAGAAGTCGAAGTAAGTGTGTTCTTAAACTTATTAATTTAGGCATAATCATCAATTTTATGTGGATACTGTTAAGTCTAAGTGCGATTATTAGAAACAGGTAATGGGATCTTTTTTCCCCAAATATATTTCTCAGGAAAAAACACATATTGACCTCAATGAAAATAACAATTTTATGAAATATGAGGAATTGTCCCAGACAATATAAACAGTAAAAAGACAGAGTAGGAATAAGCAAAACACTTGTTTGTGCATTATTCATAACAAAATACACATTAATTTTTGAAATTATTGTAATATACTTAAAGTAGTGAAAAAATTGAGCTTAAATGAGACAAGAAACTAAATTAGTTAAACTGCATTTTTTATATTGGCCAATAGGAACTTTGGCACAGTTTTGATAATATCTTGCAGTTAGTTTACATAATTGTTACTTTTTCAGGTCAAGCCAATAATTTTTTTCTAGGTTGCTCTTTAGCTTGCTGCCTTTGTTTTGTCTCCTCAAAGTAGTAGTCCTAAGAAATCATGTATCTGGTAAAAAGAGAAACAATCTTTAAAAGCAGGGTGCAAGCAAATAAAAATGTTAGCACTTAATCTTTTGCTGGCTTCAGTGGTAGGTGTTTATCCTGGAGGTAAAACAATGCTAATGGTGAGCTCATCCCTGGACTTCCTCTGAACACACTATCTGTTTAAAAACCTTAGGGACCCTTGGGGGAAGTCCAGTTAGAAAACAGATCCATTGTGATTCTGATACTTCTGGTAGGCTACTTCCTCATTGTATCTCTACTGAGCTCCCAGAAAAAAACATTCAGGAAAAGAAGCAGCAACACATTTCATACTGTAGAGGAAGTAAAGAGAACTGATTTTTGAAAAAATCTAATTTTAAAAAGAATTTTGTTTTTCTATTTCAATACTTATTTAAGCACCCAAGTTTGTTAAACATACCTTATTCACAAGTTTCTACTGGAAATCACATTACCATGACACTTAAAAATGCCTTTTTCAATCCAAACAGAATGTATTTGTACAACTTTCCTTGGCCTTTAGAAATGATAGTTATACCTTGGAATCTAGAATTAACCAAGCAGAGAGAGAGAGAAATCTTACTGAAGAGAATGCTGAGAAGGAACTGGAAAACTTTAAAGCAGCCATTACGGTAAGAAAACAACAATGGTTCTTTTTCTGAACTGTAGTGTACATGAAAGTGCACACAAACTTGAAATACGTGTGGCTATGCTTATACTTATTGTGAATTCAGCCCCAAAACTTCATTTTCTGCTGCACAAGCTCCTTGCTGTAAACTCTCTACCACTCTACATCAGAGAGAGCATTTTCTGCCAGAGTGGGCCACCATTGCTGGAAATACATCGAGGACATCAACCTGCTTTTAACAGATTTCAGGAATAAATGCTATGAATTTGCTGTTCAGTTCTTGGATTATGCCTGTGACAAAGCTAAGAGCATTCAGAACTGCAATTTGAGGACTTATCCATGCTCTCCTGAGCAAGAGCTTCTTTAGTAGTAAATATGAGATGTCCAGTCAGCTGAGATACTGAAATGATCTGACCCCTGAAGTTTGTGACTTGAAAGCCCTCTTAACTGCAGATAATAGAAACTGTTATAGGAACAGGAGTGAGGATTATTTAAGGAGTACATGCAATCCCAGGTTCAGATTATGGGTCTGAATACATTTTCATTCCAGTTCTCACTGATGTTCTTTTATCAGCAGTAGTTTTCAGTTCTGCTTGCCAGCTTTCTCTTCATTTTCTAACTGAAACGACAAATATACCTCTGGGTCAATTTATGTACTGCACACAATTTTGTGCAAAAAAAAGAAGGAATACTTAGATACCATGCTGCTAGATGAAATACCTGTAGACCCAACTTGCATGTTACAAGGAGGTGCTGACACAGTTTTGAGAAACAGCAGAACATACGATTCTTCCATTTACTTTATGAAGAACATCATAAAGTAAGAAAGAATACAATCCAGAAAATATTGTGTTATTTACATATTTTCCTCTGAAATGTCAAATTTGCATTTCCAGATTAATTGTTCCTGAAAAAAATATATTATTTGAATGTTTTGCTACTTCTCTCTCTTTTCTCTGTTTAAAGAGCAAGCAGAAATAACCTAGTGAATCTCAGGGTTTTATTTATTACAGTATTTTGTGTGCATACATGTTTTTACAACTAGTGTATCAGGGCTTTTAAACAGCAAACAATTAGTCTGCTAGATTTTCCATATATTTTTGTTAAGAATTCCTAATTAGGTACCAAGCACCATGCTACCAACAGGTGTGATTAGGTTTTTCTTCCTTTGTGCAGTTCACACACTACAGTCTGGCTTTTACAAGCTTGGTACTTAATTCATAGCAAAGTGGAAACTGACATTTTCATGTGGAAACTTCTGTTTTATACTCTAGAATAAGCTAACAAGTAATTAAATCAAATGAGATCCAATCACAGTGGGAGATTATCTTAATTTCAGAAGCACAGGTACATGGCTCAGTGGCATTTTTACCAGTGTTTATGGGGTTTTTTAGGTAATCTTGTGATAAAAAGATCTTGTGTTCAAGAGAAAGGTGATTTACATTAAGAAGAGGAGGAGGAGGAGAGGTTATTCTTTTCACACAGAATAAGAGTAATACATGTGAGGAGGGGTTGCAGAGAACTGGGGGACAATGCAACTGGTTAGAGGGAGAGTTGTATGAACAGCAACACAGTGATTACTTATGTAAGACAACCCCAATGCCAAACTGGTGCACTCTGAAAACGCACGTAAAGAGTATAGGAATCATCTAGCATCACAAAGTCTGTCTGTAAGTCTGAACTAAATTGTATAAAGTTGCTCGTATCAAACTTTCCTGTGAACAGAAAACACTCAGTGAAGAGGTGTTCACTAAGGCTTTGGCTAATAAACATCTAAATTCACTCTTGCTTTTGGTAACTAATCCTAAGGATAGTTACTTCAGTGCTTTTCAGTATTAATCTGAGCTATCAAAGTGACAATATTAATGTAGTGCATAAATGTCTGTATCAAAGACCAAAAAATTATTAGGAAATTGCAATTCTTGAGACTATAACATTTTATTTTCCAGCTAAATAAAGTATCATGGAACTAAAAGAACACAAGTGGCCTTCTTAACAGCTTGTGCCTTGTGAATTAAAATGGTATTTGTGTTTCAGCACTCATTTGTACCTACTAGTCTAAATAAGAGTGGCATTTGTAAAGTTCATAGGTAGATAGGCATGATTCATCATTTATTTCAAAAGGACAGTTCTTGCTCCTCAAAAGGTTTGCTTGCAGTATGCAGTGAAGCACCATTCTGAAACAGAGCAGCAGCACTCACTAGATGATCTCTGGTGGTAGTGGTAGAACTCCTCTGGGTCTGATTTGTCCACCTGCACCCCTTCTGTGACTCAGGCTACTTTATCTGAAGTGCAAGTGACAAGACATGACAATAAAGCTTATGTGTTCTCACTTCAGTCTTCAGCTCACTTGTGGCATCACTATGAACACAGAGAAGCTTACCAGAAGCTACTGGAGGATATTGCTGTTCTGCGGCGTTTAGCTGCCAGACTGTCTAGTCGTGCTGAGATGGTTGGAGCTGTTCGCCAGGTAAGAACATCCTGGTGTCTAACGTGTCCTGGCTGCACATGATTACTCTTTCTCTTTTTTCAGTCATAGCTGGAGGTTATGTTAGCCCTTTGAATTTTACTTGTCATTTTGGCAGATTAAAGGTGTTTATTGTAATGTCAAATAAGACGCTGTTTCAGTCTGGAAATACAACTCAAACAGAAGATTGCCCATTAAGCTATTCAACACCTGTACCGTAGGAATCATAGAATCATAGAGTGGTTTGGGTTGGAAGGGACCTTAAAGATCATCTAGTGCCAACCCCCTCCATGGGCAGGGACACCTCCCACTAGATCAGGTTACTCAGAGCCCCATCCAACCTGCCTTTTAACACTTCCAGAGATGGGGCTTCCACAGCTTCCCTGGGCAACCTGTTCAGTGTCTCGCCACCATCACACTGAAGAATTTCTTCCTAATGTCTAATCTAAATCTCCCCTCCTTGAGTTTTAATCCATTAGCCCTTGCCCTCTCACTACAAGCCCTTGTAAAAAGCCCCTCACCAGCTTTCCTGTAGATCCGCTTTAGGTACTGGAAGGCCACCATTAGGTCTTCCTAAAGCCTTCTCTTCTCCAGGCTGAACAACCCCAACTCTCTCAGCCTGTCTTCACAGGAGAGGTGCCGCTGCCCTCTTATCATCTCTGTCACCCTCCTCTGGACTCTCTCCAGGAGCTCCATGTCCTTCTTATGTTGGGGGCTGCAGAAGTAGACACAGTACTCCAGATGGGGTCTCTTGAAAGCCAAGTAAAGGGGGAGAGTCATCTCCCTTGACCTGCTGTCCACGCTTCTTCTGATGCAGCCCAGGACATGGTTGGGTCCTTAACAATTCTATGATTCTGTGATTTAGGGACTATATGATTTGTTTAAGAAGTGTAGAGGCTACCTGAGTATTCCTCCCTTTTCTTCCTTAGGAGAAGCGTATGTCAAAGGCAACAGAAGTAATGATGCAGTATGTAGAAAATCTGAAAAGAACATATGAAAAGGATCATGCTGAACTAATGGAGTTCAAGAAACTTGCCAATCAGAATTCTAGCAGAAGCTATGGTGCATCTGGTAAAAAAAAATATATAATAAAAAAAAAATAAGCATTTGACTTGCCTTTATACAGAGAGGTGTCTGGGGCTAGTGGTGATAAAAAGCAAAGGATTGTGAAATCTGTTCCTGAAGTTCTGATAAACAGGAGTAGACTTCAAAAAGTGGTAGATGTAACAGCTAAAATATTTCATATAAGCCATACTTGATGCTATCATGCAGTAGTTCAAAACCATGATCACCCACCAAATTCTTGATGAGATCCAATGACATTTTCCTTGGCCTTTGCACATATGCAAACTTGCACAGTTTTAAGGCACCTAATTGTTAGATGACTGATTATGGCAAAATTTAATTTTTTAAAAAGTATTTTATTTCTTTTTGCAATCTTTTCTTTCCCAGTTTGCTGCAAACTGCAATATGAATATTTTCTTTTGCAAAAATTTGTGTGTGGAGGCAAATAGTGGTTTTTGCCTGATCTCAGTAAATATAATAATGGTTCATTTTTTTACAGTTAATTCACATTTTTCCTGCAAGTTTGACTGAGACCAGACTTGTATGGCAGATAAATATGCAGTCACTACAGACCTTATATAAATATACAATATCTGAGTTTGAAATACAAGCAAGGGCTCTGTTACTATTATTTATGTATGACCATATAGTCTAAGACTGTTCTTTATCTACCGTTTTTATGCAGAAGATGGAGTACCTCGTTCATCTAGATCCATGTCACTTACTGTTGGAAAGGTATTTCTACAATATAAATAAAATGAAGATTTTATGTAGTGAAATTTCTTTGTCTATATATGTTGAGTTTTATAGGCTGTGTTCAAAGGTAGTGGTGGTAAATTCTCAATATTGTTCATGTAATTTAGTGCAAATGCTTTGTAATTTTGGATACCTGATTAAGAATGACTCTGTGCAGTACTCATAATTCTTGCACAAACCTATGTATAATAAAGGGACCTATTTATTTAAGAATAACTGTATTCCAGGCCACATACCTGTCCTCCAAAAAATGGCTTTGTTCTGGTTCCTCAGTGAGAAAGCTGAACATTGGATCAAAGCTTACTATATGATTAGGGATTCCATCAGAATACCATTTTCAGTATCTTAAGGATTAGATCATGTTCAGATTACTTTAGATGTAAACAGTTATTTTTAACTCAGGCTTATTTCTCACTTAGTATCAGAATAACTTGTTTGGTTTGACAAAGCATTCAGATTGAAAAATCCTCCCCAGGGGGGACTGGGGCAGCCTAACATGACTGTAGGCCCTCTAGTATAGTTTTTCAGGAGCAGATTAGATAAACATCTGTTGTTAATTAATAGGTGTAGTTGGTTTTGTCTAGAACCAGGATCATGGAGTAGGTGACTCATTCTGTATATTTAGTAAATCTGTGTTTAACTCCTTTGCTATGAAGTTATCTGGAGCAGAATCTTTGAAGTGTTTGGATATGCACTGAGATTAAGCTGTTAGATGCTGTATGTGCTTGAATTTTTTACTCAGTGGGAAGCCTAGATTTCACTAGGTGTGTATCATAGGATGAAGTATTTGGGTACTTAACTAATTACAGCAAAAAGTTATATGATTTATACTTGAGTTAGAGTATGTTGTGTAAAGCTAGCACTTGTTTGTCATATAAACAGTTTCCATGATCTTTGGGAAGTGTAAGCAATGTCATATGATGGTGGATAGATATCTAACTCAAGGGTCGGGGAGAAGGCTCTGTTCTTTTGCAGAAGGAACAAATGTTAATGTTTCTGTAAGATATAATTTTTAAGTTTAGAAATAATTGCTATATCATAGTGTGTACAATATATCACAATGGGTACACAGCAAGAAGAGAGCATTCTGTGTAACTTATTTTCTGGTGATTGTGATACTGGCACTTTCCCCAGTATTGCTATATATCTGGTTTAACCACAGATAACAGCCTCTAACAAGAACTGACAGTATCAGCTCAGAACATAACTGTTGTGTGATTTGCACTAGGGGGCTTTCAGTGTGGAGGGAAGAGTAATGGCCCTGTACAACACCTCATTCACACAAAGCACTTGCTATGCCAGATGCCACTAGAGGAAATTTTGGGAAAAAACGTGGCCCTAACAGCCATTTATCTTAATTTTGCTCTCAGCTCTCCTTTCCTCCAAGGGACATTAACCTACATCTCTGCCACACCTATTAACTTGTAGAATTGTTCTGCAGCCTGTCTTGTTGTATGATAGAAAAAAAAAAATGTTGTTTGTCACAGAATATGCCTCGGAGGAGAGTCAGTGTTGCTGTTGTTCCTAAATTTAACTCCTTAAACATTCCTGGTCAGTCACCAGCAGCTTCACCTATACCTTCAATGCCATCCCTGGTAAGTCAAACCCACAGTTTAAAGATGCTACTTTTTGTCTAAACCATTTTTCCACAGGGACAAGCCTAAGTTACTAAAAAATGTAAGCCCTTCTATCGCTTTAAATTCATTTGACTCCAACCTAGTGAAAGGAGTGGACAAAGGAAATTGATGTTGTGTGTAGGATATGTGCCTTCAGAATCCACCTCCAAAAATGATCACTTTGGACTCAGAGTGAATAGGGATAGCTGGCAATTCACAGGAATTAGATGTTCCTTGAGGCAATTTGCCTCTCTTGTAGTATATTGGAAAGAAGTAGTAAAAATAGTTGCACTGTAGTAGAGAAATACTAACTAGAATCCACAGATTATTTGACTGCTTCTCTTCATTGCCAAAAAGTCCATTATACAGAAAAGCATCTAATTAGCATAGAGAAATATATGTGGTGCAAATTTAGAAGTTCTATGATAAACTGGGAATTAGTGGAGCTCTTAGCCTTTGCCGTGACTTTTTGTTTAGAAAATGTTAATAAATAAAGTGAGGATCTAATCTCAATCTAATAAATCTATATAAATGCTTTGGAGAAAAACACCCAAGGCATACCAACTGTTCAGAGATGAGCTAAGATGGAACATAAACTGAAAATGATACAGTTTTCTGTTTAAAATGTAGGGCTATTTAAATGAGTGTTGCTGAGAAGCTAAATCCATTCTAGTTTTAAGGAAACAATCTGTTTATGCAGTTTAATTGTTATGTACGCAGTCAATTGTTTCAGCAACTGTGCTTATGATTTATTTGTGTTTAAAATTTTCCATTGAAAACTTAGCTAAAATCAATGTTCCTAGGATAATACAGAGAGAAACAATAGAGTAATTTTACTGTTCAGTGATAAATATATGAGGAAGAAAGGAAAAAATAATCAGAGTAGAAGGGAATGTTGCATAAAATTCTTCTTAGTGTGCAAGCATTGTTTGCTGTGGTTAGCAGGAATAATTTGGAAGCCTCATATTAAGGATAACCTTGCTCATGGCTGTGGGATATAAACCTAAGTAGCACATCGACTTTGTACTTTTACTGAGGACTCATTTGAAATTAATTCATGGATGTAATATTTATTGCTGCTTTTCATTTACAGTCTGAATCACCTAGTAATGGAAGGAGCAATCAAACAACTACTCCTGTTCTGCCAGCACTTTTAGAAAAGTGAGTTTTCTCTAGGTCATCTCATAACCTATTATGTCCTAGTATGAAATGAAAACTGTATAATTTTTATCTTTCCCAACAGAATTTATACCAAGGCTTAAGGTACTGAAATCAGTGACACAGTATTGGCTTAGGTCAATTTGCAGTCTGGTAACTGTATTTTACCATGCCATCACCATGTTGTTCTTTCCTTATTCAAAATGTTTACAAGCAGTATTTCAGAACAAAAGCAAGCTGCTGTGATCTTTAAAACTCATCAAGTAAAATTGCAACAGAAGATTATACATTTATACATTTGACTAGAACTTGACAAAACTAAGAGCATTATACACAATGCATGTAACTTTTAAAAGCTATATATTTCCCAGAACAAATTAATGCTGTATCTGAAGTTGGCCATGAACTACCCTGGGTATTATTATTCCTCAAGTTGACTACCACAGTAATAGAAGTTTGTGTTCTTACCTTTCCTTTTCAGCATGTGGCCAGCCCAAAAGAATCATATTTTGAAATACTATGATATACTGTGTCATGTAGGTTTTTTAATTTATATGATTACACATAAGGGTACAAAATTCAGAAGTATGATTTATAATAATATTAGGTCATTAAAATTGTACAGAAGTCAAAACAATTACTAAATTGAGTAGTAATTATTATTTAAATAAATTGAACATTGACTTAAATCAAAGCATTAGGTTTGATATTTTCATTTTAATAACCCACAATTTTAGTTACAAAAGCAAGAGAAGTTTACATTTTACTATTTAAATACAGAAATATGGAAGAAGTTTTTTTTCAGCCTGATAACATGTATACAAATTAATGAAATGTAAAGCTTCTTCACTAATAGACTGCAAAGGTGGGTAATACGAAAACATGTGAGACTGGAATGTGACCAGAAGGTGTACTCAAGTTTTTTTACAAGGTCTTTATAAACAGTTACCATTGTGGGTATAGGTACTGTTGCATTTGCAGACCTGTGTGTGTATATACATTATTCATATGTATAATCAGCCTAGGAAGCAAAAATAAAACATTGTCAAGCACCTTTCCAAATAATCTCTTTCAAATTATCTCTTTAGAATGTTGTATATTCTATGGAAGTTGCTTGCTGATGTTTCAGAAGTAAAACATCACATTGATTTGTGGTGGTGTTACTACTACTATGTTGGTTGTATAGACTGTTTACAATATGACAATAAAATATCTGCAATACTATTTCAGCTAAAGTTTGTTAGGATGCTTTAAATGTGCAACTTAAATGCTTTAAAATAGGTCTTATGTCAGTATAGAATATTGATTTTCACGTATTTTAGATTAGTGCTGAGGCAGGACAAAATTTATCTTCTGTCTTTGTTTTCTCTCTGTGCTTTACCAAGAATGAAAATATACAACAGCTGGGAAAACAAAAACTATGAACTAAGGCACTAGTTGTTGCAGTTCAACAGAACTCTGCAAGATTTATACCATCTTTTGAAACTATAGAAATTCTGAACAAAAACAAACAAAAAACCAAACCACTCTCAGTATTTCTTGCTGGAGCTGGACCTTAAGAAAATCCATGTAATCAAGTGACAGAAGTAGTACTTGAAATTCAAGTTTAAGCATAAGTATGTATGTGTGGGCCAGCTGCTATAGTAGTGTAAAATTATAGAGTTCAGCAGAGTTTTGCATATTGAAGCACTTCAACCTTATACTCATTAGGTGTTTAAAGTCCAAGTGAAAATTATGTCTATTATTAATATGACTTCTTGAGAGAAAATCCATTGTCTGCAGATGCTGTCAATCAATTTCTGCCATTGATTTTAGTGCCAGAAAAATAAGGCCTACCAAAAGGATTAGATTCTAGAAGCTGAAATGGGATCCAGTGTTGAGCTTATTAAACCTTGACTGTGATAGGTTTGCTGAGTCATGTTTGAATCACTTAAGCTGTTTGTCTCAGGCTTAAATAAATAAAGACAGGTGAGCACTGCAGAAAGAGAGCAATACATAATGGCTTATCTTTAGGCTAAATGCTCAAAGCTTTTATTTAAAAAAATTTTAGTTACAAAAGCTATCTATATGTTGGTACTTTCTTTAACCTGTGCATCAGTTCAGCATATAAAGTCAGCAGAGAGGAGAACCTAAAAGGCAAATTAAAAAAATCTAATACTAAATTATAATTTGGTATTATTTTTATTATTTTCCTCTGGCATAGGAGGCTACAGTTTCCAAGGTGATTTTTAGAAAGATGATGGAAATATTTTAAATAGCAAATTAATGTCATGATAAGCAAGGGAAAAAATGCTGTTTTCTTTTTTAAAGAAGAAGAAACAAAATGCAAGTTCTAATAACTTAGAATCATATTAATTGCTGTTCTGAACTTAAAGGATTTTGAAACGAACGTTTTTCTTAAATGTTTAATTATTTTTTTTTAAGCCATTTTATTTTTCAATGTACATTAAAGAACTAAAACCAGGAGTAAGAAAATTGCTCTTGTTGGGTGGTATGCTCCAAATACAATACATCTCAGTGGTGTTATTTTTCTCTTTGTTTCTTTTGTCTTGGCAGTGGTAAGCCTAATGGAGAGCCTGACTGTGAAACCTCTGCTTCTGTGCTGACACAGAGTGTGTTGGAAGAAATCAGTCCTGAAGCTAAAGCCAAGATAGAAGAGGAAGCATATAACAAAGGGTGGGGATATTTAATGTGAACTAAATCTGTAAACATGTGCTACCAGATGGGCAGAGTGAAGAGTGAGACAAATTTTTTTACCCTCTCCTGAAGAATTCATCAAGGCATCTATCTTTAGCATTGATTTGCACTTACTCTCCAGGAAAAAAGAAATACCTAGAGGGGCTTATAAATGTTCAAAAGGAAGGGTGGCTGTTTGTATGCCATACTTGTGGTCTTTAGCCAATTTTGACTCTTGTCAGAGTGCTGCAACACAGCTGTATGTGTTTTATTGCGTGTAGCAAAACAAAGCTAATTTTTCATTGCACAGGAACAGGCTTATACAGCATGCTAGACTAAGAAAAATGATCTTTTTCTGTTAAAGCTATCAGGAAGGCTTGAAGAAAACCAAAGAACTTCAGGAACTGAAGGAAGAAGATGAAGAGACACCAAAGGAAAGTCATGATGAACATGAAGAAAGTGAAAATGAAGATGAGATAAAAGACCTGAAAAGCAGGTGAGACAGTGGTATAATATGTCCATACAAGAGGAGCCATTTTTTTTCTATTTGTAGTACCCAGCCAAGTGCTATCTTGACATTTTTCTTCCAGTCTAGGGAAGCATATTTGAAATACCACTATTTTCACAGGAAGCCATATTCCCAGATAACATAGTTACAAAATGCAAAACTTTCTGTTTTGATATTTCAACTAAAATTGTGTGTTGACATCAAAATGCTTCATCTTTATGAGGTTTGATTTTGATTTGAGGCAAGAAATACTCCACAAAAGAGCTTTAGATGCCAGAGTATATCTCAGAGTAAGCATGTGTTATCTCATGAAATTGAGAGTCAATAATCTGATGTCTGTATTTGTGCCATATGTCATTTCCAGAGGGTCTTGACATGTGAGTTTTTCAGTACATCTGCAAGGTGAATTCAGATTAAGACAATTGCCTTTGTTGGACTAGCTGTGACTTAGGCAGGCAAGTGTTTACTCCCCGTGGAAGCTGTGCACATGCAGCACAACAGCTCTATGCTGTTCCTCCCTTCCAGCAGAGTGATATGTTTATGGAATTCATCTGTACCCGGTGCTCTTTGGCTGTACTGGGGTCTGTTGAATTCTCTTCTTATTGTCTTACCTGAAGAGTTTGGTGCCTAACTGGAAAACTTTTCTGAATTTTTCAGCTTTTCATAGAGTTGAGTTTCCTTTGTGGTTCTGCCACCCAATTCAACAAACTTGCATTTTCCTGCATTTTAAAAGCAAAGAGACTTTTGCATTAGAGAGGAATAGAATACTGGCCAAAGCAAGTAATATGTCCAGTCTCAAGCTAAAGTAGGGATCCTCACCAGATCCCAAAGAACTGATTTCTATCCCATAACCATTATGGTTATAAACATCTGTTAATTTGATATTTCAGCATGTTCAGAAGCACAGCCATCTCATTAATCATGAAACTCTTTAAGAAGAAATGTTCACAGCATTTTATATTGTTTAATTTTACATCATATCAAGCTCTGAGATTTGACAGTTGACAGGTGAGAGAAATAGAAGTCAAGTTTACAGTCTTTAGACATCTTGCAAACATCTCCCAAGTGTACAGCTCTTCATAAAATATTAAAAGTCTGATTCTTCTTTGACAAGATGTTTGTATTTGGAAGAAAGATGGTGCATCACACATCTATTAAACTTCTCAAATTGAAAAGCATAAGATAATAAATTCACATGTGATTAATATATAACAGGTTGTTTTTTTTAAATTTTACAGCAGACTTGAAGTCATCATTAATTATTTACATATACTGTACCCCAAACTGTGTAAACACTGGAATGTGATATGGCTCGTAGTGGCTGCGATAATCGTATTTGCTGTGATGTTGGGGATCTACCATTCATACAACTCCTGTGATGAAAAATCAGAGGGACCTGAAGGGAAGGCCAGCTGTTCTGCTGCCCAGCAGTATTCCTGGTGGAACTCAGGATTCCAACATGAGCAACGCACTGAATAGAGGAACAACCACATATTTATGGTACCTGAGCAAGTATGCATATTAGAACACAGTTGTTAAAGGTAGTGCTTAGTCATCTTTATGGTTGTTAAATGTGATCTGATAGGCAAGTGAGTTACTCCACACCATCAGGTTTGGGGATATATTGTGAACATACCTTGCCAAAACGACAATTTGACAAATAACCCTTTCTGTCCTCTTATTGTAAATGACTGACATAAGAGATATTGAATCAGCAGTAAGCAGCAATGAGCAAGACATTTAAAAGAATGAGTTGCACAGGACATTGACATCTCTCCTATGATTTTGAAGAAATTATAAAACCTGCATTTGCAGTTAGTGCTTTACATTGCATTTCCTGATTGGTGATTGTTGAAGTACTAATGGCATTGAAGTCCTTTGGGTTTTAAGAGTTCAGTTCATTTCTTCATTCATTATTACTGGGTAGAAATAGAATCTCTTCTGTTGAAGATTAGAAATATATTATCAGACCAAATGATAAACTACATGCATGAAAACATGCATAAACATGTTTTATGATATATTTTTAAGAATAGCATCACCATTTTTTTTCATGGAATACAAAACAAAACCTAAAATGATGTCTAGGTGGCAGAGTTGATATCATCAAATAGATCTGGGAACTTTTGATATATCAAAGGAACATGCTTTGCAACAAATCTGTGCATGGCATTCAGAATCAATACTGGTTGAAGTAAAAAGTAGTTGCTGTCTGCAAGATTAGATGTGTTGCCCAAGCCCAAAATACATCAGTCTGGCATGTAGGAAGCAATCTTAAATTCTTTATTAAAACACGGAAAAAAGAAAAAGTAAAAAAAGTCTACAAATCTCTGTATGCAGGTGATCACACCAAGTGGACTCTGCCCTGCTGCTAATACTGAAAATAGATATCCTTAGAGATCTGCACTAGGGACACAGTTCTGTGTACAGCCAAAACCTTTCCAGTGCCTGGATGACTCAGGATGTGAAAGCAGTGAGGACTTTATAAAGGTCACTGCATGTTTTTAGTAATTCATTTTCAGAATCTGAAGCCAAGTATATAACTGTTCTGGTACACTTTCAAAGCTAAACTGTCAGGTTGTGATAGATTAATCTTTTGCCCAGATTTTGTAATGGTTCTGCCTGTTTGGGCATTGTGAGTTCTTACACAGGAATCTGAAAGCCTGACATTTTTAGGCAAGCAATTTAAAAATGGTGAAGCCATTACCTGTAAAAATCCACACCATCTAGGGCTGAGACCAAAATGCATGTCATTTAAAATGTACCAAATGTACCT